TTTTTTTAACCCGGTGGAAATCCTCATGGACCGTCCCCCCGCTTCGTTGGGACGGAGACGGGAGGGTGTGTGGGACTCGCCCTCCCTGTACCCCAGGCAATTGACGACCTGGGGCCAGCGTGCAATGGAGGGCGCCTACCGCACTAAAACCACCGGGGGTGGACTTCACTGCGCCATGTTGAGCCGGCTAGGTACTGCGATCGCATTGCTTCTGCCCGGCTCGGTGTCACGCGCCTGTTAATGGCACGCTCCTCTACGTCCGGACTTGGACCGCGCCCTGACTTGGGCGTTCTTTGGCGCATTGCTTGCGCCACGGCAGGGGTGCCACCGGGCCCCTACCGCGCTCCCTCGTTGTTGGTGGGGGCTGGCGAGCCGGGAGTCCTCAGCTCCCGACCCACCCCCTGGGATCCCTCTGCTTTCCCAGATATTTCCCCTTTTAGTCGCCTCTTACGACAGGCAGGGGGTACCCCGGGCCTATTCGTTGGCGGGCCCCGGACGCCTAGCGGAGGGATCGCCCTTCTCTTCGACCTTATTTTGGTCGACCATTCCGCTTGTTGGAGCTCCCTGTCTATTACAGCCACGGTGGGGAGGGTTTTTTAACCCCCCTCTTCCGGGCTACCAGCCTCTTAGGTGCGCAGCCACTTCTCTCCTCCTTCTTCTTCTCCTGGCTGCTGTTCCTTGGCTACCCGGGGGATCAGCCTCCCCCCTACGTATCCTCTCCGCGTTCTCCTTCTCGCGCATTACTATCTCGCAGTAAGCCGAGAACGCATTCCAATTGACCTCGTCCTCCACTATCGCCTCCACTACCTTCGGGAGGGCGAGGTCGTCGCCTATTACGCCCCTTAGGACGCGCCTCTGTTCTGCCCACGCCGGACAGTGTTCCAGCGTGTGCTGCGCTGTATCGTCCGCACTGTCACAGTGGTGCTGTCACTGTGACAGCGGGACGTATCCTCTTTTCCAATCCGTCGCAGGTACCCGCCAAAGCAACCATGTCCGGTGAGCACCTGCGACGTTCGGTACGAAGCTCTGGCCCAGGGACGCTCGAGCCATGCGTCCAATTGAGGGAGGATGGCCGACACGGTCCTCTGGCCCGCACAATCTGGTCGCCCGAGCCACCGCCTCCATTCCTCCCTCATGTCCCTCTTTAACTGAAGGGCTATGGCCCTCCTAATCCTGGGAACTGCTATAGCTCCCCTCCTCTTGGCTTCGGCCACCTTGTTGTAGGTAGCCGCGTGGACCTTGGCGGTCAGCTCGATAGGCGGTATGCCCGCCATTAACGTTGCCGCCGCCCTGGACACTGTACGATATCCCCGTATGACTCTAATGGCCATTCTTCTTTGCGTTTTTGCGTTTTGCGCAGGACGGCCGCCGCCGTCTTCTCCTTTTTCAGGGCGTCTGCCCAGATGGGGGCGCCGTAAAGGGCAATGGAGTTCATGACGGTGCTATAAAGCTCCTTCATTCTGCCATGCGGCCCCCCCAAATTGGGCATAACCCTGGACAGGGCGTTTGCCGCCGCGTCTAGCCTGGGCCCCAGCCCAACGAGGTGGTCTTTGAATGACCACCTCCCATCGATCCGTAGGCCCAGGTATTTTATCACCTTGCCCACTTGTATTCTCGTCCCGTCAACATAGATGGTCGCGTTCGGTGGCTCGCCCCTCTTTCCATCGTGATGTAAATCGCCTCCGTCTTTTTCGCAGCTACCCTCATCCCCAGGGACGCAATGGCCCTCACCGCGCGTGCTACAGCGATGTTCGCATTGTTGGCCGCGTCCTGCCACCCATCCCCGCCGGCAAGCACTATAGTGTCGTCTGCGTAGCAGACCATCATGCTGCCGGCGGGCATGGGTGTCCTCAATACCTTGTCGTACGCGACGTCCCACAGGATCGGTCCAAGGACCGAACCCTGCGGGACGCCGCGCACCGCATCCCATTTTCTGGGATCCTCCTCTCGGTCTTCGCAAGCGATAATCCTGCCATCCAGGTAGCTTGCTATAATTTTACGGAGGTACGCAGGCACCTCCATTTCTTCTAGTGCCACCTTGATGGCTTTGTGAGGGAGGGAGTTGAAGGCATTAGCTATATCTAGAGCCACTGCCAATACTATACCCCTCCCTCCCTCACTATCTCTTCTGAGTACGTCTTCACGCATCTGATTGCGTCTACCGTCGATCTGTTCGGTCTGAAACCGAACTGACGGTCGCTCAGTCCGTATTCTTCTCCTCCAGCCTCCAACTCCCGGACGAGTCGGGACGTGATAACTCTCTCAAAAAGTTTGCCCGCCTCGTCCAGGAGACAGATCGGCCTATAGCTGGCCGGTAAGTCCGGTGGCTTGCCCGCCTTGGGCAGGAGGACCAGTCGAGCCTCCTTCCATAAGTCTGGGAAGGAGCCCTTCAGGCATGCATTCATTAGCATGCAGAGCCATCCGGCGAGCTCCCCCAGCGCCACCTTCCAAGCCGCCCCAGGAATGCCATCTGGGCCGGGAACCTTTCCGGCTTTTAATTTCCTGGCGGCGACCGTCATCTCCTCCATTGAGACCTCTAGTCCCTCCTGCCACTCAAGCTCCACGTCGTCCCGGTTGGCCCGCTCTTCTTCCTCGTCGACCTCTCCCGGGAACAGCGCGCGGACGACCTCGCCCAGGAACTCAGGGCACAGCGCCTCGACCGTGGGGGCCGCCCCTTTGTTGAGTTTATCCATAACGATCCTATATGGACGCCCCCACGGGTCCTCGTTTAGAGTCTCGATCAACTCTTCCTAGGCTTTCTCTTTCGCCTTTCTTATGGCGGCCCTGAGTTCCCTCCTCTTGGTCCTATTGATTTCCAATAGGGCCTCTAGCTCCCTTCTTGAGGTTCCGGCTCTGCTCCTCGCCCTCAGGACGCTCCTTATCGCCTTGACTGCGGCCTTCCTGAGGTCCGAGATTTCCTCGGACCACCAGTAGACTCTCCTATTCGCCCTGAAGGCGGCGCGCGGCATGGCGAAATCGCAGGCACGGGTCATCACTTCCCGCAACCATCTCGCCTGCTCCTCTATGCTGGCCTCCTGTGGTGAGGGCGCCCACGTTTCCGCCATCAGGGACGCCAGCAGCTTGTCCGGGTCCATTTTCTTTATTGACCACCTTAATGGACGACCCGGTCTCTCTTCGCCTCGTTGGTCCGGCCTGGCGAACTCATATTCTATCGGCAGGTGGTCGGAGAGGAGCTCATACTCCTCCGCCACCCGCCAGTTCTTCACCATACCTGCCGCCGCCGGGGAAGCCCATGTCAGATCGACGATGGACTCCCCCTGCGGCCTCACACAGGTGCTAGTAGTACCCGTGTTTAGGAGGTGGAGGTCCAAGCGTGCCGCCCAGTCCTCCACCTCCCCTCCCTTCACGTCTCGCCGCCGGGAACCCCAAAGCGTTGACTTCGCATTGAAGTCCCCGGCGACGAGGACCGGGCCCGGAAGGAGTCCCCTGACAAAGGTCTCCAGTTCTTCCAACCGGTCTTCCACTTCCACTCGGGCCAGATTGGGGCTGAGGTAGACGCCTACAATCGTGATTCCACCCCATTTGATGCTCGCCCATCCATTGCCCGTTTTCGCGTTCGAGCACGGAGTGCTCTTTTCTGCGGTTCTCCTCCAATGCAGAGCCACTCTCCCATTCTTGCTGTAAAGCCAGCAGGGATGTTTCGGACCTTTGAGTGGCTCCGCGATGACTGCCAACCCGCAACCACGCTCAGCCATGAACTGCGCCAGGAGGTCGTGCGCTTGGCGAGCGTGGTTCAGGTTGACCTGCACCACCCTCCTTACTGGGTCCCGCGTTGTGAAGGCCCTAGCTTCCCAGCCTCCTCCTGGCCGTGTCTCTCTTCTTCTTCCGTCGGAGTGTCTCGTGCCTCTTCGACGTCTATTTCCATCTCCGTATCCTTGCTGACCTCCTTAGGTGATGGATCCTCTCGTGCGGTTGGGGCTTCTTGAGTGGGCTGGCCCTTTCCCCCCGCCGTCTGGGTGTCGTTGCCCTGTCTCCTTCTTTTCTGCTCCCTCTTTGAGGGGAGGGGGCAGGCTAGTCCTCCCGCCTTGTGTTTGTGCGGAAGTCCCTTATCCTTGCACACCGGGCACATGGGCTCCTTTGAGCATTCCTGTGCCCGGTGTCCTTCGTCACCGCACCGGTAGCAGTTGCCGCTCCTATCTTTGGCACTGCGGTATTGCTCTCTGACGTGCCCGCGCTCGAGACATCTCTAGCAGACCAAAGGCCTCGCTTCCAGTATCTCCACGCGGGCTATTACCCATCCGATGCGAATGCGTCTCTTGGCCGAGACCTTTTTTGCCTCTGTCAATGGGCACTGCACCCAGGCCGTGCCGAGTCCATTCGGGGCCACCCTAATCTTTCCGACCCTGACGTCCGTCGGGTCGCACTCAGCTTCCCTGGCGACGACTCCTCTGACTTCCTCTTCCGAGATGGAATCGTCCAGGTCTTTTATCCTGAGTTCTGCCATCTTTTGGGGGCGAGTCACCTTAACCCCCTCTCTGTTTACCAGTACCGACTTCATTTTGTCGGATAAGGCCACGGCTTTGTCCTTAGCGCCCTCCCCTGGTATCTCAAATACCAGGGCTCCGATCATGGAGCGTCTCGGCTTTACGCCTTGGATGCCGTAATCCTCTAGTTTTATCTGGGCCTTTAGCTGCCCCATACACTCGCCATATAGTGTCGGGGGAGCCGTTAGCACCACGGCCTGGGTCCTAGGATTTCTTCTCCTGGCCGTTTTTGTAGCGACGGTCTTCGCGCTTTGTGGCGTTGGTTTGTCCGTTCCGCCCTTCGTCTCCTTGCCCTGCAGACCCTGCGTTTTCTTCGGCAGCGTCGTGGGCTTTTGCAATGCAGCCGGTTGCGTTGCCGCATTTCTCCTGCTTCCCCTCTTCACTACCTCTACCCACGAGTCTGCGGTTCTCGGGGCCGGCTGCGAGGCCAGGGCTTGTTTCTGTTTGGCCGTCTCCTCTCTGCCATCCTTTTTAGCCTGGTCAGCTTTGCCAACGCCAGTGTTGGTGCCTTTTTTTGGTCACCGCTCTTTGTGGCGTTCGGGTCCTCTTAATTTGGACGTTCACAGCTTCTACAGCCACCACCCTCGGTTTGGGTTGGGCATTTCCGTCGTGACTGTCCGCTGCTTTGGAGGGCTTGTCTGCATCCTGCTTCCTCTCGCTCCTGACTGTCGGCAACGTGGCTTTGATGCCTTCGCATCTGACTATCAGATTCTCCAAGTTCTTCACGGTGTCCATAGGGTCGTCCGTGACTACGCTTTCAAGGCAGACTCCCTCTAATACCTTTCTAGCGTCCTCCAGAGTCCTTTCGATCGATGGGGCCGGGATCTCGGCTTGTCGTCCCTGGATTTTTGGCCTCAACGCCGGAGGAGGAGGCTCAAAGTCTTCCTCCATGCAGTACTTTGGCAGTACCAAATCCTCTTCTTTCCGGGCCGGAGGGTCGTTCTCGTCTTCCAGTGATATTTCCAGCGTACGGACGCGCCTCCTCTTCCTGGTCGGTTTCCCCTCCGCCACTGGGTTCTTCTCTGGTGCGCGTTGTGGTGGCTGTGCCTGGCCACCTCGCTCTCAAGCTCTTGGATCCTCTTGCGCATCTCCTGTCCATCTCCGTCATGTCCCCCTCAAGGGCTGGGAAGGTCCTTGCAGCGAGTGCCCTCGACGCTGCCTTCAAGACAGTCACCGACTTGTGCAACTTGCGAACGAAGGTGCCCTTGAGGTTCTTAGACCTCTTTGCTACCTTCTCAATCACGTCCAGATTCTCCACTATCTCTGCGGAGATCTGATCGGAGACCAGTGCCTCCATGCACCTCGTGGTCTCTTTGATACGCCTCGCCTCCTCCTTGAGCCGCTGGACTTCTTTTGCCGCGGCTCTTCTCTGCTTTATCAGGAACCCCTTGCCAGTGGTCGGTGGTCTTCCACGGCCTCTCTTCTAGGGCTCTTCTTCCACCTCGCTCTCCGACTCGCATAGATCGGTGTCGGAGCCTTCGACGTCTATGATTTCATCGTCGACGATACCGTGTCTCCTCAAGAGTTCTTGCTCTCTCTTAAAACTCTTCGGTCCTACTAGCGGCTTCTTCTTGTCCTTAGATGTCCTGTCCTTGGATGTTGACGGGATAGCAGGATCGTCCACCTCCATGCCGTAATTCGGGACTCTCGATCTCGAGATCCCTCTCCCTTGGATTCTCGGATCCCTCGCTCATGAGGGCCGCCCTTATTCGCCTTAACCTTCGCATCTGGGTTTTGTGTGTTTGAGGAAAACATATTGGCAGGTATTCTAGTGTTACCCGGGTTCGCCCACCATGGGACCCCCACCGCGGTGGGGGATCTGTCCCCCGGGGTAATCAACCCTAATTATGAGGCGCGAAGCAGGGAAGCTGTTTGTCGGATGGCCGGTCCTATTGCGCCTAGTGACTCTAATTAAAAATGTCTCTGGAGACGGCCAGGACCACTATTATGCAAAGGTTTATACTCACCCCAGAGGCAAGGCGCGCACCGTCCGACCGGCCGCTTACCTCGCCCCCGGGCTACAGTCCACCGAGGAATATACCCCCCCCCAGTAAGGGTATGAGGGGTCGGCGGCCAACCGCCCCTCCATACACACGCCCAGCGTGCCGGCTTCACCCCTCGAATAGGCTCCAGTCAGGCGAGCGGGAGCGGTTTTCCCACGTTTAATTTGCCGCTTCCTGTGGTTTTTGCCAGATTGTTCTGGACTTACGCACCCACGTAGCCCACGGCAGAGGTCAGGTACAGACGTCACCGCTCGCCCCCGGTCGGGGGGTTTACTACTCCCCCCTTGGTTAGTCTTCGAGGAATTTCCCCCGGCAGCCAGCCGTGTTCCATTCACGCACCACATACGCCCCGCTCGTCGCCACTTCCCCGCCCCCCCCTTATGCCAGGCCGCACGCCCCAGCAGCGGGACGTCGCACAGTGGTCTGGAACGGACAAACACTTGTTCAAAATAGGCTACAGGACGTATTTCTTAACCGATTTTAATGTTTCTTGAACAGAAATACTCGGAAATAAATTCTGAAGAGAACTGTGAGAGCCGAATTTTGATTTTTTGTGTTGGTGCAAAAATATGTAAGAAAAAAGTGTGTTAAACTAGCACTTTTCGACTAAATTATTTTTTATCTGACTCCAAGCTACTTTAACAACCTTACTATCGATGAAAATCAATACTGTCCCATCATAAGAAACAAAATAATTTAATAATAATTTAACTTAATTGTTATTAACAAATTATTGAAAGAAATTATGGTTCCCCGTGCTTTATCACAGAAATAATTAGTTTATTAGCTTAATTGGTCTAAAATTACTATAATAATGATTTCTAACAAAACTTGATTGTAAACTAACAATATCCATTATTATAAACAATCAAATAAACAAATAGTAATTTTTAGGTTCCTGGGTATTTTAAATATATGAATTAGTTACACGTAGAATTATGAGTCAATAGATATTAGAATTACGTTAACAATGTAAATTTGTTGTTAATAACCAACACACAAAAATATAATCAAATCATTGATCATGCTCGCGCGCGCGTGTGTAATGTTGTAAATAATTGTGTAAATTATGATTCCACGTGTAACTAATTCATATATTAATTTAAAATACCTTGAAATAAGGAATCTAAAAATTACTATTTGTTTATTTGATTGTTTATAATAATGGATATTGTTAGTTTACAATCAAGTTTTGTTAGAAATCATTATTATAGTAATTTTAGACCAATTAAGTTAATAAACTAATTATTTCTGTGATAAAGCACGAGGAACCATAATTTCTTTCAATAATTTGTTAATAACAATTAAGTTAAATTATTATTGAATTATTTTGTTTCTTATGATGGGACAGTATTGATTTTCATCGATAGTAAGGTTGTTAAAGTAGCTTGGAGTCAGATAAAAAATAATTTAGTCGAAAAGTGCTAGTTTAACACACTTTTTCTTACATATTTTTGCACCAACACAAAAAATCAAAATTCGGCTCTCACAGTTCTCTTCAGAATTTATTTCCGAGTATTTCTGTTCAAGGAACATTAAAATCGGTTAAGAAATACGACCTGTAGCCTATTTTGAACAAGTGTTTGTCCGTTCCAGACCACTGTGCGTCGGCCCCAGACACAGGGGTTGACGGGTTCACGACGGCGAGCGGGTGTTGGGTGGCTGACTTGCCACCCAACGCTCCAGACCCCGGGGCCCCGCCTGGGAATAATTCCCAGCTGCCCCCAGGGTCTTCCGGGCGATCGGACCCCGCCTCGGAAACGTCCGAGCGGCCCCGACCCCCGTCAGTCTTCCGGCCCGCTCCGCGGATCCTGGGTACCACCCAGTTTACCGCGGAGGTCCGGCCCCTCCCCCCGGAAGAGACGGACCACGTCCGAATCAACCGCGGGGAGGGTGGCCTCCGTGGGGCTTCCGGCCCACCCTTCGGCCAGGACCACGTCCTGTTGCCTCCGGGATCCGGCTCTCCCCCGCCCGCGAGCACGTCCACGACGAGCCCGCTGCCGGAACACCGGCGTGCAATGGAGACGGTGGCCTCCCCCCGAATCCCAGCCGCCTGCCGGAACACCGGCGTGCAATGCGATCGAGGGGGAGACGACCCGGTCCGGTGGGTGGAGCAAGCTCCCCTCTATCGGCCCCGGAAGCCGGAGGTTTGAAGTCAGGGTACCTCATCCCCTACCGGCGAATGGTCTCGACCCTGTCCTCCTAAAGCGGAGAGCAGTGCCGAGACCGGAGTCGCCGGGCTCCTTGTTTCCCCTTTTCAGGGGAAAGCTCTTAGTCGGCGAGAGCCCGTCACCGAAACCGCCGATGCCTAAAACGGCACACAGCGGCTTCTAGACACACTCTCGCCTACAAGCCCCCTCACCACGTCAAGGTGGCTTGCCACGAGGGGGTGTACTTTTGCTCACCTAGAACAAGTTCCCATGTCTTCAGTACCTCAAATTTTTGTTTTCCCTTGGCTCCTTGAAAGCTGAATTTATTTGCCACATCGTTACTAAGAACATTTCGTAAAAATTTCCGGACTGAATTGTCCAGACTATTTTTGTCCATAAATCTTCCAAGATACATACTCTGCGGAAAGAAATAAAAAATTAATACATAATTAATTTAAAACGTAGATATTACCTTTGCCAAACACACACGATAAAAACAGAAAAACTTACTGCCGCCGATAAATTTGTGTCATTAGCTAAAAATTTTTCCAAAGCATGTAGCTCTTGTTCAGATTGAACCGGAAGTGAAGGGAATCCTGTAGGTCTTTTGGTAACTTTTTCACCCGGAAGTATATACCTATGTAATTTCTCCTGATTCATTAAGCAAAAATCTAGTTTGCTATTCAGTTCTTTTAATTCTTTTTTGTTTCATTATGATATGTGCTGACGAGATCGGAAAGATAATTATCTGCAAATTAAAACAAAATGACAAAATAAAATTTATATGTACAATAACTAATTTTTTCTTAAGAATAAATCATTTTTTACTTTACTCTCTTACCTGCTTTTCTACTACTGTTACTCTGAGACGCACAACTGCTTCCAGACTTCTCCGGCTTCTCCAGAAAATCCGTTTTAGATGAGCTGGCCATAGAAACTTCGGTATCTGTAGAGGATGGCCGTTGTTCAGGAATATGGAATTGTTGATTCAAAATTTTCAGCAAGCTCTTCAGTATTTTGCCTTATTTCAATACTTTCACTTCTATCCAATAAACTCTCATCGTCCACATTTTGTTCATCAAATGTCTCTTCATCTTCATACAAGGATGCTTTATCCTTGCAAGGTTGAAGTTTCTTATTCGTCAGCAATTGACTAAGCTTTTCAGAGAGCACGATTCTTTTATCTTTTTCTTTCTGCATTTTTTCCCTCATGTTGTTAAAGATACGTTTGATGGCCACTTGTTTTCCATCACTCTTTCGAGAGGATTTGCAAATAATTGTCTTAGTCAATTGTTCCTCTAGCTGGGGAGAATGCTGCTTCTGCCGTACTAATTTATGTGGATACAAATCTTCCTGATCTAATAAAAGGAACAGTAGGAGGTGTTGGTACCGTCTTTTTTTATTTTGGGAGACTCTTGTTGCTTAGACGAGTTTTTGCCTTTTTTTGACACTAGAATCTTCAGATTCGGAATCTGATTCCTTTTCTGACTCAGAGTCTAAGTGTTGTGTCTTTCTTTTTTTTCTGTACCCTCTACCTAATTCATGATGATCTGTTTCATAATTTGTCTCCTCCACATGTCCCTTACATGAAGCAGCAGCTTTGTCCTATAAATCTGTAACAAATATCAGATAGCTAAACAAACTAAGCAAATGGTAATGATAAATGCCTTTAAATAACAATAAGCGCCCATATATAGGGTGAATTGTTAAGGTAAAGAGTGAATCGATGGTAGTCTTGCTTAAAGGATTTCTTTATTAGAAGTACACACGTGCTTTCTGAACAAAGGTTCGCTCGCAACTAACATCCCCCACGGGGATACTCGCAGAGCTCGTGTGGCTCGCGGAAGTTCGGCCACGCTCGGCTTATCTAATGTACGTTAGGTACCATTGTTTTGGCGCTTGCATTGAATGCGATGAATCGTCTCAACACTTCCGCCGTCAGAGCGTTTAATGCACAGTCCCAGACTCGTATATAATTCAATAAACCTTTTTTTTTTTTTTTTTTTCGTGTGGAAATCCTTTATGGATACCCGGGCCCCCCTCTGGGAAGGGAGTTTACTAATGGCCCGGGTTATGTGGGACTGCCCCCCTAATGACGATCGGGGTGCCGCCGCTAGTGTTGCGGCGGCTTGGCTTACCGCACTAAAACCACACGGTGACCTGCGCGGTGCTTTTACTTGGGGGACGCCCAGGATGTAGCAGAGCTATAACTTCTGGGCGCCCCCCGCACCGGCCCGCC